CATGGTATACTTTTCTAGCCATAGTCTTTTTAACTCCCCTTTTGCCTTGAGAAGCTGATTGTTAAAGCTATCCACCTGGTGTATTTCTCTTGGAGTGTCAGGAAGCAATCTTCTGGGAAGTTTGCTTGCTCTCAGATACATAGAATTCTGATGTGGGGATTGGTTAGTTTTGGCCACTCTGCCAGGCTCAGAAAGGAGCCCTCCTAGAGGCAGGTCTAGAGAGTCTCTCTGACTGCTGCCTGAGAAAGACACACTGCTAAGAGATGTAAGAGAGACACGCTGCTGAGAGAGAGACATCCTATGGAGAGAGACTGAGAGACTGAGCACGTTCCTGAACTTGAATTGTAGCCTGTTGCTTCCCTAATAAACCCCATAATCTGTGAGTTCTCTGTGACCACTGCAGTGATTAATGAACCTAGCAGTGAGTTGGTGAGTGGTGTGGGAGGAACAGTTGTTGTCAGGGTTGATGAGAGGGCTGGAAGGTGGCAGCATGTCTTGGCCTTATAGGAGCAGCAGGCCTTGGGCTGCTGATAGTGATTCTGTCCTCCTCTTGTGTAGTTTGAGGAGGTCAGAATATGCCACCTCCCTGCCCCTTTAGCACTTACTTAGCTACTTTTTAATTTTAGTTTGTTGAAAATTTTGATAAAGAAAATCATTTTGTCCTAGCGTACAGAAAAAGGTATGAACAGTTGTTAACTAGATCATTCTTTATACAAGTATCATAGTTGATCATTTTTACATATTTTAATCCATTAGAGTTATATTCCATGTTAGTCTTAGGACAATGGAACATAATACTGTGCCATACTTGAAAGATCTCTTGAGAGAAAACTTCAAAGCATAAAGTATATTTGGCTAGAAAACGTGTGGTCCTCATCTCTTTGGGAGCAGGCCCAGTAGACAAAGTAGACTCAGAGGACTACCTGTATGCAAAACTAAAATGCAAAACCCACTAGTCTGTATACTTGTTTTACTTTCAAAAGATAGGAGGATTTTTCTTACAATTGCCCTCATGCAGGACAGTCTAGATACAGGTTACTTATAAGTTTTAAGCTAAAGTTTTTTGTGGCTTATTATGAGTAACTGTTTTATCAATGTAAGCATAAAAAATTTTGTTTTAAATTATGTAAATTTATAGGTTTTTAAAAACACTTGTAAGTAAAATCTTAAGCTTTTCTAAGGCTTTTGGTCCACCACTCATCTGTCAGTTTGTCATACTATGGTGGCTTGTGTATTGCTGTGAGGCTGGAGGCAATGCCACCAGTATTTCAAATACCAGCAGGTTCACCCATGGTGGACAGGTTTCAGTGGAGCTTCCAGACTAAGACAGACTTGGAAGAAGGAAGGGGCCATCCATATCTCAAAGAAAAGTAGTGTCTACCTTAGTAATGTCGATGGAGTAGAGCTTTCAGGGCCTCCATTTGCTGATGTGGCACAACTCAAAATGAGAAGAAACAGCTGAAAACATCCATTAATAACTGGAACATGGGATGTACAAAGTATGAATCTGGGAAAATTGGAAGTTGTCAAAAATGAAATGGAATGCATAAAGATTAATATCCTGGGCATCAAGGAGCTGAAATGGACTGGTTTTGGCTATTTTGAATCAGACAAACATGATCTATGCTGGGAATGACAAAGAGGAATAGCATGGCATTCATTGTCACAAAGAATGTTTCAAGATCTATCATGAAGTACAGTACTCTCAATGATGGGATAATATCCATACGCCTCCAAGGAAGACCAGTTAATACTACTACTGTTCAAATTTACACACCAACCAGCAAAGCCAAAGATGAGGAAATTGAAGATGTTGACCAACTTCTGCAGTCTAAAATTGACCAAACATGCAATCAAGATGTGTTGATTATTACTGGTGATTGGAATGCAAAAGTTGGAAACAGAAGAATCACCAGTAGTTGGAAAATATGGCCCTGGTAATAGAAATGATGCTGGAGATCGTGTGATGGAATTTTGCAAGACCAATGACTTACTCATTGCAAATACCTTTTCTCAACAACATAAATGGTGGCTATATGTGGACTTCACCATATGGAATGCACAGGCATCTGATCGATTACATCTGTGGAAAGAGCTCATGGAAAAGCTCAGTATCTTTAGCCAATACAAGGCCAGGAGCTGATTGTGGAACAGACCATCAGCTGCTCAAATGCAAGTTCAAATTGAAGCTGAGGACAAAAGAAGTCCATGAGAGCCAAAATATGACCTTACTTATATCCCTCCTAAATGTAGAGACAATCTAAAGACTAGATCTGGTGCACTGAACATCAGTGACAGAAAACCAGATGAGTTATGGGATGACATCAAGAACATCATCCATGAAGAAAGCAAAAGATCATTAAAAAGACAGGAAATTATGAAAATGGATGTTAGAAGACACTCTGAAACTTGCCCTAGAACAGAGAGTAGCTAAAGCAAATGGAAGAAATTACAAGATAAAAGAGCTAAACAGAAGATTTCAAAGAGCAGCTTGAGAAGACAAAGTCAATTATTATAATGAAATGTGCAAAGACTTGGAGTTAGAAAACCAAAAGGGAAGAACACACTCAGCATTTCTCAAGCTGAAAGAACTGAAGAAAAAATTCCAGCCTTGAGTTGCAATATTGAAAGATTCTATGGACAAAATATTGAATGATGCAGGAAACATCAAGAGAAGATGGCAGGAATACACAGCATCACTGTACCAAAAGGAATTGGTTGATGTTCATCCATTTCAGGAGGAGGCATATGATCACAAGGAGGCATATGATACCCATGGTATTGAAGGAATAAGTTGAAGCTGCACTGAAGGAATTGGCAAAGAATAAGGCTGTAGAAATTAACAGAATCCCCACTGGAGATGTTTCAACAAACAGATGCTGCATTGGAGCCACTCATTTGTCTGTGCCAAGAAATTTGGAAGACAGTTACCTGGCCAACTGACTGGAAGAGATCCATATTTGTATCCATTCCAAAGAAAGGTGATCTCACAGAATGCGGAAATTCTCAAACAATATCATTAATATCACATGCAAATAAAATCTTGCTGAGGATAATTTAAAAATGGTTGCAGCAGTATATTAACAAAGAACTTCCAGAAGTGCAAGCTGGATTCAGAAGAGAATGTGGAACAAGGGATATCATTGCTGATGTCAGATGGCTCTTAGCTGAAAGCAAAGAATACCAGAAAGAAATTCACTTGTGTTTTATTGACTATGCAAAAGTAACTGATTGTGTGGATCACAATAAATTATGGATAGCATTGAGAAGAACAGGAATTCCAGAACATTTAATTGTACTCATGAGGAATATGCACATAACCAGGAGGCTGTCATTCGTACAGAGCAAGGGGATACAACATGGTTTAAAATCAGAAGGGAGTGCGTTTAAGTTTTATCCTTTCACCATACTTATTCAGTCTGTCTGCTGAGCAGATAATCTGAGAAGCTGGACTGTATAAAGAAGAGTGTGGCATCAGGATTGGAGGAAGACTCATTAACAACCTGCAGTATTCAGAAGACACAACCTTGTGGAAAGTAAAGATGACTTGAAGCACTTACTGATGAAGATTAAAGACTACAGTTTGCAGTATGGATTGCATCTCAACATAAAACAAAATTCCTCACAACTGGATCAACAAGCAGCATCACGCTAAATGGAGAAAAGATTGATGTTGTCCAAGATTTCATATTACTTGGTTCCACAGTCAACACTAATAGAAGCACCAGTCAACAAATCAGGTGATGTATTGCAGCGGGCAAATCTGCTGCAGAAGTCCTATTTAAAGTGCTGAAGAGCAAAGATGTCTCTTTGAAGACTATGGTATGCCTAACCCAAGCCATGGTATTTTCAGTTGCCTCGTATGCATATGAAAGCTGGACAATGAAGAAAGCGGTAAGGAAGACCAAAGAAGAGTTGATGCTTTTTACTTGTGGTGTTTGTGAAGAATACTGAAAGTACCATGGATTGCCAGAAGAACTAACATATCTGTCCTGGAAAAAGTGTAGCCAGAATGCTCCTTGGAAGCAAGAATGGCCAGACTTCATTTCACCTACTTCGGTCATGTTAGAAAGGACCATTCGCTGGAGAAGGATATCATGCTTGGTAAAGTGGAGGGTCAACAAAAAAGGGGAAGGCCCTCAACAAAGATGGGTTGACAAAGTGGCTGTAATGATGGGTGTTCTGGTTACCTCGTACTGCTCTGACAAGAAATATAAACCACAAATGGGATGGCCTTAACAAACAGGAGTTTATTCTTAAGCTTTGGAGGCTTTGAATCCAAGTTCAAAGTGCCAGGCTCTACAGGCTGGGTGAAAGCTCCTCAACCTTGGCGTCCAGCTCTGCCTCCTGCTCCCAGCCCACTGGAGCTAGAAACATTTCTTCACTGTTGGCTACTGAGACTGAGAAGCCCAAGGTTGACAAGTAAAAAGGCACAGTCCCGATGTTACCAAACCACACAGCAGGCCATTAACTCTAAGTCCCAAGATCGGCAGAGCATTGCAGGCTGCTGAGCAACAACAAGGCTACATGCAGGGTCCAATGTGCCAAAGGCTAGAGACCATTCTCAAAACTTCTCCTTATATACAGGAAGCAGATCACATAACCAAAGGCAGGTACTCAGCTGCTCACAGTAGAGTCCACCACGGAGTTGATTACCAGTCTCATCATGGGGAATACTACATCCAGCTGCCCAGCCACTCAACCAGGCCTAGCCAAGTTGACATACAAACATAACCATCACAGTGGGCTCAGGTATAGCAAGGATTGTAAGGGTGGCACAGGTCCAGGCAGTATTTTGTTCTGTTGTACGTCGGGTTGCTATGAGTCAGAGCCGACTCAGCAGCACCTAACAACAACAACAAGGCATTTGGTAAGTACTTTCAGTTCTAAAATTCTGTGAGTTGCATGTGGTACATAGTTAATACCACTGACTGACTATACATTTATTTAAGTTTCCCGTAGAACTTAAAGTCTTGTATTTTATTTTCTTTACTAAACAGGATTTACCCAATAACATGATTCATCAGGTGCCAATAAAATCACTCCCGCAAGAATGGCTTTGGTGTGAGACTTGGTGTGATGATGCCTCTAAGCAAAGGGCGAAGACAATTGATTTGGTAAGCTGTTTGTGGTTCTCATCTGCAACTTAATCCAGTATGATGTCTTTTCTTTGTTGATGTATAGTTTAAGGGTTATGGAACTTCTCAGAATAATTTCAGCAGTTCTCTTTTCTGCTTGGAGCCAGAGATGATAGAAGCAAAATCTTACACAAAACTGCTGTGTAATAAAAGTAATTGTTGCTTTCTAGCTCATTACCATATTGCCCCTGACAATCTGTCATCATCTCCCCAGTCCTCAGTATTGTTCTTATGCTGTGAGGACTTGTAACCTAAGAGCAGAAACACCTTTGAGTTCTATTTAATGTCCTTTTTTAAAAACTCATCTGTAGTATGTTGCCTTGTTTTCACAGTGTAATAATCCAATGACCAAAGAGCCCAAACTAGAAGCAGCTATGCGAATTGTCCCAGAGTGGCAGGACTATGACCAAGAAATCAAACAGTTACAGATCCGTTTTCAAAAGGAGAAGGAGGCAGGACCACTATCGAAAGAGACTAAGACAAAAGAGCCAAGCCAAGAAGGTAAGTACAAACCTTTGGATTTAGATACATACTTTTTTACTTGTCTCATTTCTATTTATTGCATAAACAACATAATAATGGAGAAAAGGAAAAGAAAAATCTCTTAAATCATTAATCTTTTAATCCCACCATCCTCCAATTATGTATTTTTCATTTTCCTTTTCAGCTGGCCTTGTAAACAGTTTCTATTAATGCATTGGCTGCCTGCCTACTGTTTTTTAGAAAGGGAATGCTTCCTTTTGACTGTGGAGAATGTTGTTAGCAAGGGGTAATTTTTTCCCATCTGCGCCCTATTTTCAGATGGGGTGTTTGTAAAACACAGTTAACATCACTGACTGACTATACATTTATTTAAATTTCCCATACAACTTAAAGTCTTGCTTTTTATTTTCTTTACTAAACAGGATTTACCCAATAACATGATTCATCAGGTGCCATCAGAATAACCATTCAGAATGGCCATTCTTATGGGAATGATTTAATTTGCACTTGATGAATCATGTTATTGGGTAAATCCTGTTTAGTAAAGAAAATAAAATGTAAGACTTTAAGTTGTATGGGAAATTTAAATAAATGTATAGTCAGTCAGTGATGTTAACTGTGTTTTGTAAAAGTCTTCCAAAGATAAAAGGAGTTCCTAGGTGGTGCAAATGGTTAAACATTTGGCTACTAGCCAAAAGATTCGTGTTTCAAACCTACCTACAGGGTGCCTTGGAAGATAGGCCTGGCAATCTGTTTGCAAAAGATGGAATCCTTAAAGACCCTATAGAGCAGTTCTGCTCTGCAAACATAGGTTGCCATGAGTTGGAATTGACTCAGTAGCAACTACCAACAACATGCAAATATCTAAGGTGATATTCTGATTGTGATTGTTTTATTTAGATATATTAGTTCTGTGATATGTAAGCCAAACTTAAAATTATTTGGAGGACCTCTTGTCAGATTCCATAGTTTTTTGTTGTTGTTGTTCTTTATGTTTTTATTAAATCTGACAGGTTACTAGTAAGTGGACAAGAATTGAGGCAAAGTACCTATGAATTTGGAAAAAACATATTTTTAAAAACAAGCATATTGGGTTGGTTGGGGTTGGATTTAGTTTAGGCTGAAAACAGAAAGGACAAGTGTTTCTACAATATTTTTTTCTACTATGTATACAACTTGAATGATAGCCACTTGAAAAAAATGATGAGAATACAAAAGTGTCCTTTTTTTAAACTATTAATACACTTGGCAATTTATTCATTTTGCTCTGGATTTTAAGATTTATTCATCTCAAAATTAATTCTGAAAGAGCAAATGCAGAAAAACATGGAACTTGAGTGATGCACATAAACATTCTGAAAATTCTATGATATCTGCACAGATAAATGGTTATGTATTTGCCATAAAAATTCATTCCAATTGATGGGTAAAGCCTTAAAGATTTCCATAGATAAATGGGCAAAGAATATGCATAATACTATTCAAATAAAAGTCTTCTCTTAAGATTTATCTTTAAGAAATTATTCAATGCAAAAGGAAAGTTGTATACATGAAGATACTTATTGTAGTAATATGAGCTACACTGATATATAGTAAATATGTTCATGTGCTGTTAAGTGAGAAAAGAAGAATCCTGACTGAAAATGTATGCATTTAGACTAACTGAAAGTAGATATACAGGTGGAAACTGTTTAGTTAGATTGGGGATTTACAGATAATTTCAGTGTGTTTAAAAATAAAAATGTCTCCTTTGTTTTTTTGCTTTCAAAATACAACACAACAACATCAAACCAAAGGTCCTAAAATTTTAAAAAGAGAAAGTGGAGATGGGGCACAAATTATGGGTTACCATGTTGGGACCTGCTTAATCTGTACTTTCATAACTTGAAGACATTCTTTTTTATTTTCCGTTGTTCTTCTTTTCCATAGGGCCTCAGACACATGAAGAATTATGATCTCCTGAGGATAGGAAATTGCGCCATTTGAAAAACAGTTTTTATATTAAATGCTAGTTTTTTCTGATCTGTCTGTACAACTGCTGATGAACTGGTTGGGCAGATGTGCCACATCTTTGATTCTGAGTGTTTGATTTTGACTTCTGCACACTGGTGGGGTTAAGGCACTACTAGTTTTGTACCTCAGAAGAATACCAGTGGCTAATCTTCCAGGACTCTGTACAGAGCAGCCTTCTAACCAGAGGGGAGCATGACAGCAGCACCAGGAAGAAATGAATACTTTGGTACGCACTTCCATGAGTACACACACATTGCACATCATAGGAACCAGTCCAGCCACAGCCACCACACTCTTCCCTACCTCAGTTTTCACCGTGGAATAGCCTGTGCTACAGGCAGATACCCATCATCTGGGGTTGTGTCGGCAGCAGCTTAGTCCACTGGCCACACTGCTGTGCTCCGTGTGTCCCTCATGCATTCTTTCCCATACCTTAGGCTCATTGTTAATCAGAATCCAACCAGCTAACCAACCTTGTGAATTCAGGGCTGGCTTAGTGCAACAGCTAAACAAATTAATTTGGGTTGGGGTCAGGATGGAGTAAATATCAAAAGTAGGATGGCTTTTGAGTATTGGGAGGTAAGGGAAGTGAGAAAGACAAGAATCTGGTCACTGCCTTTTATAAACCATTAGTACCATTGTGACAGATTTGAAAACATTATTCTTATTCCCCATCCAATCCCAGTGAATTTTTGAGGTAATTGTTTTGTAAACAATTTTTATATTTGTCAAAAGTCTTTGCTTTTTCTTACCACTTTCTTAAAAAATGTCTGTTAATGATTTCTTTATTGGATATAGCCATACTAAGTCCTTGTAATTATCTAGTTCAGGACTTCCCTCTAGAAGATGACTCAGATCATTTGCCTACTCCTGTGTAGGATTCTCTCAGAAGTGTGGTTGGCTTTGGCTTCTCTCTACAAAACAGCTCCTCGGTGTAAGACCAGGAGAAATTTTAACTGTGGAATTCACGTTTATATACATTTTTCTGTGTTCCTATCACTTAGGGCTTTAGATTCTCTTTAAGTTGCAAAAGTTGCTGGAGACAGCATAGGGTTCCGAGTCCACATTATGACATCTTAAGACAAAGTTTGCCCTTTAGTCACTGCTGTCTCCACCAAAATCTTTTTGTTTCTTCAACAAACAGATCGTCCCTTCTGAATCACCTTTTGCTGGTGAATGAGTCAGTGCTATGCGGCACAGGAGCCATTGAGCTGGTTTTGGCCAGAGAAGGGTGAAGTTCAAGTGTCCTTCCCTACATCTCTTCATCTAGCTATAAGGCCCGGTGGCAAGAGCACTAATGTGGAATCACACCTACCTTCACATTCACATGCTTTCTTTGTTTTTACTTTCATTTTTTTTTCATTTTCATTTCATATTTTGCCTGCTTTTTAAAAAATACAAGGAGAGGACAGTGCAAATGGCTAGTTCAGTCCTTGCTCTTCTAAACCAGATAGCATTTTGATTTGCAGTCTTTTTTAAATTACTTACAAAGTCTTATCACAAATGTCAAGTAATTTGTTTTTGTTTTTGTTTTTTTAATTTTCAAATTAACAAGTTAGCTTAGGAGCCTCCCAGCTATTCGGAAGGAGCATGTAACTTTGCTTTCATAATTCCATTAACAATTGAGGAATGACTCAAAGGAGGATTAAACATATAATTTGATTTGTGATCCTACAAGTCCAGGAACCTTCAGAATCATTGCTGCTCGCAATGGTGGTAGCGTGTTCTCCATCGCCCTCCCCTCACCTTGTCAAGGCAGCTGAAGGGACCTATCAGGAAGACTAAAACACTTTTGTTTAGAATACTTTTGTTTAGGCTTCATCTTCAGATTTAATTAAGCCTTCAGAGAGCTGTCTGCTGACACTGCCACCTACAAGCATGCATTTTTCAGGGTACTTAGGAAGTGGCCCTGGCTCCTTTCTCTATATCTACCAAATCTTTTGTGCATATTCTGTGTAGGGAAGATACAGCGCAAACTCTGCTCTCTGTCCTGTGTGATCTTGTTATCACTCATTGACCCTTACCCCACTACTTTCAGTGTCTGCTGTGGGTGATTCTAAATGTGCACCATCTTGCTTCCATAATGTAGTGGGCCCCTTCTGGTGCCAGTAATTCTTTTCTTGATTCATGTGGCATATACACCCCTCAGAGTTAACCTCTCATACCCTAGGAAATGATGTTACCATGAAAATTTGACCTTGGTCCACCAAACCTAATAGCTCTATTATAAGCAAGCATATTGTGACTGATAAAGAGGTAAGGTAATTTTTTTTCAAGAAGCAAGATTTGATTGCACTGGATGTTCAAGGTTACAGAAACTGTTCACAGTGTGTTCTTTTTAGCCATCATTATGTATAATGCATTTTTTTTCTCATCATGTAGAAAATTTTCTTTCTGAATTAAGTGGCAGAGTGATGTCAGAATGACATGAAACAGTATGAGCCTCTCTTTCTGCTCTATCAAGAGTGTTTGATTGGGGTCAGAACCTGCTGATGGGGCCAAGGCATGCCATCACCAGGGTCTTGGGCATGCCTGTGTTTTGGTTTAATGTTGAACTGAGTACTCACCACACTGAGAATAAGGCATGTTGGTTTTCCACAGACTGATAGAGTTAGAATCTGTCACAGTGTTGCATTTCAAATTGAACCTACAAATGTTGGCATGCCCACTAAGTGTGCTAGCATTGGCTGGGCCCATGCATCATGTGAACTCAGTCTTAGGAGAGCAAAGGTTTAAAGGGTATTAAAAGACAGTTCTATGGATGGAGCTGATGAAGTCACATGGAGTCCTCATGTGACTATTGCTGAAGCCATGCCTGAATTAACAGCCTCTGTCTAGCTACTGGGACTGCGTGTCCCCGAGTGCAGGGCTGAGGTAGCTAGGGATGGTCATGCAATTATCAGAGAGATAGCAAAGGAGATTGGAGGAAGGAAAGCCCATAGTTTCCATTAACCAGGAATTACCCTTTACTGGTACCAAAATTTGGAACAGGCCAGACACCACCCTCCGGTACTGAGTATAAAATGACTCATACTCCTTCTCTCCTTGAGTAAATGTGGACACTTGAAAGTAGTTTTTTTCTAACACTGTAATGGCTAACTTTGCCTAAATGAATTATTTAAAAAAAAAAAAAACAACAACTAAGTTACAAGGGAATGTGCTTTTTTCTGAATAAAGTGTTGATGCTGTTACCCAATTTAATTGGATGTTAGACTGGTAAAACCTCCTAAGTCAGCCTTTGTCTTGGTAACAAACATTGGATGGTGAAAAAAGAGTAAATTATGTGAAAAGTTATGTAATATATATATTCATTGTGAAACTTTAATAGTTTTTAAGGATTTAATTTTATGGGACTGTTTTGTGGCATGACTAGTTAATCAGTATAAACATGGCTTACAGTGTGTCCAGTTTCTTCATTGCTGTTAGGTGCCATCAAGTCTGTTCTGACTCATAGTAACCCTATGTACAATAGAACAAAACACTGACTGGTCCTGCAACCATCTTCACAATCATTGCCACGCTTTAGCCCATCGTCACGGCCACTGTGTCATCCATCTCATTAGTGAAACTAACCCTCTCCAGGGACTGGTCCCTTCTGACAGCGTGAAGTTTGGTAGGATGACCTTTTTCATTGGAATTTATGCCCTCCAGCTTGATGCAGTGAGGACACTATCATAAGGAGAATTTTGGTAATTACCTGGTGGAATTCAGGCAAGTTAGACCTTATTAACTCAATTATTTATAGTCAGGGTATCTGGAGGATACAAATTTCTCATTAATTATTTGCTCTTTGACTTCTGTGTATCATACAGAAACTACTAGATATCATCTTGGAAGGATCAATGTGGGCCAGCCTTACCCTTCTGGATTGCCTAGTAGTACTAAAAGAATCAAGGAGGGAATCTCTCCTACAAGGTAGCATTGAGTGTTGACAGTTTTAAAAACAAGCCACAAAATTAGCTTTGAATCTGAATAGAGCAGCTCCATGCTCCCCAGAAGTAGTCTACAAAGTTTAAACTCATTGGTGATGATTTCTGAAGCTAGAGGCCATTTCCCAGGTGTTCCCCAGTTACCTACAGTGCAGAGGCCAGATGTGGAAGATTGGAATAGAACGTAATGGTACAGAGAGCTCAGGCCTCATCCCACCTGTGCTTTACCCATTGTCTTGCTTGCTACCACTTAAGTTTCCAGAGAAATGGGCATAATTCCCTAATGGAACAGAAGATTATCAAGTACTATGTTTTCCAACCATGGTGATAAGAAGGCAAATGTAAAAATGGAGAGAAATGTTATAATTAAAAAAAAAAAAAAAACTATGTACAAATCTTCATAAATCCTCTATTTTGCTGTAATCCTGTTCCATTAAATGCACCATAGTGTTTAGGTGCTTCCCCTTGCTTGGGAACAAGCATTTGGGGTTGTTAAGTGTTTGCAGAATCCTCTGCAACCAAAGTGAATTGAAAATGAATTTCCTGGTACTGTAATGAAAATAAGATCTGCTGAACACAATAAACTTTTTGCTCTCTTCTTTAAAACTGTCTGCTGACTTACTCCATTTTCATTTTAGAAAGGGTAGAATGTTAGAGCTCAAGTTCAACTCCTTCATTGACAAAAGAAGCAGGCCTGGGGAGAGGGAGAAGGACTTTACCAGAAGTCTTTTTCAGGAGCAGGGGTAGGCTGGGCTGTCCCACTCCTCAGGATTCTCAGAAGTGTACTGAGCCGCTTCAAGGTCCCAGCCTCTGGGGATGCCCTGGGCAAGGCCTAGCAGGTGGACAGCTGCACACAAATAGGTGGGATCAGGGAGAGAAGCGCAAGGCAAGAAGGCAGCATAAGACAGCTCGGCTTGTCTTGGTCACTGAGTTGCTTTGAGGGGTGGCATGGACTCTGCTCATTTTGCATGTTCTCTGAGCTCCTACCTGGGGGATAGGTATAAAGTTGCAGAATACAATTCAGTTCCTATCCCCTAGGGGCTTGCTGAACATGGCAAACTAGTATAATGAGTGCTCTGGCCAAGGTGGGAGTTTGGGAGTTGAGAAGGAAATATAGTGGCTGTGTGGGCACAAGAGAAGGTACCCACAGAGAAGGAGAGAAAGGATTTA